CACAGGGCATACTCAGCAGCAAGGCAATGGGATTTGAACCCACTTTTGGAAAGACCAGCCGATTGAGAGATTGGATTAATTACGCCCCTTAGAGATTCACTAAACGGGAAGGCAGATGCGACCAATTCAAATGCATTTATACCAACCAATTGTCAGGAAAGTGAAGAATAGTACATTCCAAACGCTAACCAAACCAATGCCCACATTCCCAACAAATTTTGAACTAAGACTGATGATATCCCAGCAAAATATGTGCATATCTTTAACCTAATCCAAATGAAGAAAGAATAAAGTATTGCAGATACAAACATAAATTATACCCAAAATTCAAAACCGAATGAGAAATCCCCATAAAAGATTCAAGGCATTCAACAACAAATCGCAAATAAACAAACCCACTACTGATAAAATGCAAAATCGAAAGGCTGAACATTAGTATTTTCGTAATGAAATTTCAGACCTGGCCAAATGTTTGTGAGATGGCATCGAACCCATGACCAGTCCGCAAATCGACATGGAAAGGGAAACTGTGAGGAATGGCGTCGACCAAGGCCTGAGGAGGAGGAGTTGAGTGGTAAGTGAATGCTAGATCGTAGGAAGGAGTTGTTTCTTTGATCTCTGAAAGGCCTTGCAATAGGTGCTGACCTAAGTAGCCTGTGCCTCCGACCACCAACACTCTGTTCCTGCTCATCTCTCTCTCTCTCTCTCTCTCTCTCTCTCTGTGGATGTTACAAATACTGAAACGATTTATAAGTTTAGTTTTCACCAACGGTTGGCTTAGAAGATTTGTCAATCGTTAGAAGAGGAAGCTTCCTTTTTATTTTTCTGCTTTAACAAGGATTCCAGGGGACAATCAGGCTCTTACTCGAGTCAGAATTATTTGGACTGAGTTTAAATTTGATGCATATAAAATTTTATTTAAATTCACCATATTTGGTCGAACTATATTTTTTTTTACTTCGACTCATTTATATATAAAATATATGGGATATTTAAATTTAATATAAATTTTATTTCTTTTGAACTCGACTCAAGTTCAAATTTATTTTTTAAACGAATTAAACTTAAACAAGCGAAGACATGGGCATAGCAGCCACAGGGAAACATATTTGTGGGATCTAATTGATATTATAAGTTTATTCTTCTTGACAAATCTAATCTTTATTAGTATATTTATTTTCTGATTTCTTGGTTAAACATGAAGTTATCAAAGAATAATGTATAGCACCGAATAAAATTACAAGTGTTCTTAATGATCGATTCGAGTCATAACTTAACCCCGCACTTATAAACCCTAAACGGGAACATTGTAAACTACTAAATCATCAACGCAAAAGTCATTGATTCTTGTAAATACCATATAAGAAGTTTTTGATGTTTTTAGTCGAAAAAATATTATGTTTTCTAAATTTTTTTTTATCAAATATTTCATCACAAAAACGATGTCGCACAATCTCTATTACATGTATTAGCATTATTACATTTATGAGTTTATTTGCATTGCAAATCACATGTAGGACAAAGATTATGTCACATCATTATGTGACTTTAATAAGCATAACATTATTCTTGTAATATACTATGTTTGAACAAACAAAAAACTGTTTTTTTTTTTGTTTTTTGATAATTGAAATGATTTTTTTACCCTTTTACTTTGCATGGATAGCTTTTATTGTAATCCTGTCTTGAAAATGTTCCACGTCATCAACAAAACTTCTTTTTAATAAAATTTATCACATAAATTATTTAGACCATTAGAGTTTCACTATGAAATAGGTCCCCACATCTGCCACCTCCTTATTTGCAATTTATTATTGACATGGCAAATTGTCTAATGTGTAGTACGATGAAAAAGTGAAATGATAAAATATTAGAAGGATGAAAAGTTAAAGGGATAAATAAAATATTCGAATTCGATACGAAAATAAATAGGTCAACTCGTAACTCGACACGACACAATTAGTTAAATACTTAAATGAGTTAAGTTATATTTGACACAAACTCGTAATGACTCAACACGACTCGACTTTATTATTACCCCTAATTTTAGCCAAAACCAAAAAAAAAAAAAATAGTTATTTTTATTTTTCATCCATCCAATCAAACACAAATAAAAGAAAGTGTATCATTCCTACTTTTCATCCTTGAAGGATAGAAAGTGTATCCCTCTTACTTTTCATCCTTTCTACTTTCCATCTTTCTTACTAAACGGAGTATAAGTGTCATCGTTGATTGCTTGAAAAGGCTGGATTGCATTGGTTTTATGAGATTGTCACATTATTACGTATATTAGCATTATTACATTTATGAGTTTATTTGGGTTGCAAATCACATGCAGAGAAATTCAATATCTGGAAAATGAAGTGCATGAAAGTGTCAAATTTTAGTGAAAGTCTACAGTAATATCGATAGTATTGTACCAAAAATTATAATTTTTTAAAATTAAATTACTCAACTTTTTTAATGTGTAAGTTATAATTTTCAAGGACATAATCGATCATAAAAATTGAGATTAATACCAAGAATTTATGATCAATTTTGGGTGTTTTTAATCGATTATGGCATTCCCTTGAACATAATGATCAACGTAAATCCATGCGTTTGAGTTCGAATTCCCCTGATTACATAAAAGAAAAAGATATTCAAATTTTGCGATTTCTGATAAAATATGTCGTTTTTCCTTCTTTCTCACCACCACAAATAATCATACAAAAGAACATCAGTTCTTCAAACCATGACTCATCCTCTTATATCTTTACAATACCCATCTCATGAAAAATCTTGTATAGATCAAGGCTAGAAAAACACAGAGGAAACAGCTATGGAATTCTCTTTTGAATAATCCACCATAAGGCTGAAGCACCAGAGCTTGAGAGGAACCGAAAATTTTAGCTGCTCTCGGGGGAAGCTTGGGCTTTCTCTATAAGGAACTCGATTTTCTGGTCATATAAAATGCAAAACCAAATTAAGAACAGCCAAAAGAACCATAAAGAGAAATTGTAGCAAGTAGAAGATAGACATCATGTAGCTTCTTGTACTTCAAGAAAATAAGAATACAGGTAGGGTACGGCATATATACGAATCAGCCTACCATTGCCCAACCAACCCCAAGTTCTGCCCGAAAGATCAACTTCCAGGTAAAGCCGCCGAATTGTAATGGTCAGTTATTCACTGCTATGTGTTCTTTAATACCCATGCAGAAAGAAAAGGTAATCACCTTTACTGATTTATTCACTTCATGAAGCTTATGTAGCACCAAATCTGTAGGTACTAAACCTCTGTGCCCGACTAGAGCATGGCGCGGAGAACCCGTCATCTGCATGGCATAGGTAATTATAGTTGTCAATGACACAAAGAAAACAGAAAGTTTCATGAGATAACAACATAACGTATTGACAGAGTACAGCAGAAACATGCATTTTGATTTGTAGATTCTTCCAGTGATAACATACTCAGCAAGCAACCTATATTTACAAACCTATACATATGCATGAGAGAATGAAATAAGGAACTTGTGGAATCATTGAGATTCCATATGCGACTGGTTTGAGGGAAAATGGGAAGAAAAAAAAAGAAGAGACTGATCTAGGTCCTCCATTCTCTAATGTTTGGTTCCCTTCAAAGCATAATACTAAACTTTAGCACGAATCAAAACAAGAAATAGAATGAAATGTATATATCACTTGGTTCTCCCGTTTCTAAGCACCAAAATAACTACAAAATCCAAAAGATAATTCTCAGACCCTGCCACATCCGCAGGCACTCCGACGATCTTCCTTCACTAAACATAGTTAATGTCAAGAAATTGAGTAAGCACTTCTGACGAACTACAGCCAACCCAGAATCTGACCATAACATGCTATACCAGAAGCATTTGGAGAGAACTCAAGAAGACTCTTCAGACATACTTGCCACCCACTTTCATCCATTAGGGCTATGCAGATAGATAATTTTACACGCCACTATTAGTGAATCTCATTGAAATGCTTGGATTAATAGCACCAGAACTATCAAATGTTGGCTATTTACATTCCTATATTAGGAAGCAAGAACAGGCCTGCTATACAGCTTCAGCATGGTAGACTAAGTGCTTTTACAACTTACAATAATTTTATCACCAAATGTTTAGAACACAAATTGATAGTTAATATATTAATAATAATAGCATAACCATGTCATTCCATCTCTTAATGAAGGATTTGTAAAGGTAAGTAATTAAGACGAAGAATAAACAAATTTGCAGTTAATTTACAAAGACGAAACAATAGCCAACAGATTAAGAGAAATTTCATCACAACTCAAGGCTGTAGCCAACAGATTAAGAGGAATCTCATCACAGAATAGGTGTCTTGTTTTCAGATTCATGGGACAGTAGGTTTGAAATAAGTTTAACGGACAAGAAATTTTAACATTTCATTGCTACCTTCAAACTTCTGGATGGTGATCTCAAGACAGCTGGACCTTCAGTCAAAGATTCCATACGAGCCACACTTTCCCATTCACTGCTGTGGACAGTAGGTTTCCAACTCCTGTCAACGCCTTGTATAACTTTTGAAGCCTCTGTTACAATAATCTACAAAAGAAGCAAACTATCATCTATACTTCCACCTACTAATCACATCATTCTAGAGTTAATAAAAAAACAAATGGTTCAACAACCATAGAGCTGTACATTCAATGTAATTCATCTTTCTTCGCAATATCCACAACAGACACAACTCAACAAAATAGGGGACATATAATACATTTACCTTCCTTAGAAGTCCAGGGTTATGAACCCCTTGCACCTGTAGTTCATCAACAGGTGCAGCTTTTCCATGGGCTATACTTTCAACCCTAATGGTATGGATTCCAAGGGCCGACTGTAAACAACCTAGAGACATGAAGACATAGAACTCCGTTACTGCTAGGCATGACATATACTCCAGAAACTTTATGACATACCAGTTATATATAGTTCTATAATATGCATATCTTAACACCTATAATGAAGTAAAAAATGTGCCCCATCTTAGCCAAGTGGCAGAAATTGCAGACAACCAGTATTGCAGTTGTTCCACGATTAGGGACACATGATACTAACTGAAAGAGATGACAAGGAAACATATTCATGTGCACACTCATGGTTAAGAATTAACTAAAGACCCTATCGGAAAAAAAAAAAAGAATATATTGCAAGAGAGCATAATATTGATACGCAAATGCGTGGTTAAACAACATGTCTTCTCATCTTTTGTAATGTCTTTGTTATCTTCCTTTTACCAAAGTATTTGTTCTGTTCTTTTTCTGGTGCTTTTAGTCGACCAATGGATCCATGAACTTCAACAACAGGGGATACAGTTATCCATAATATACAGTTTTAATAAAATGACAAATTCAAGAGATTGTGCTTCATGGGGGCACCTAAATAGGAACTAAAATTTACGAGGTAGTCCGTGCATGCATTGAATATAGTAGTTTCTTGATAACAAGGATTGCCCACTTTTTAGAGGTTTCTAACTTCTAAGTGACTATAGAATAGCGTCACAAGAATGCCATGCCTTTTACCACAGGCCACTTTCTGGAATTTTTTGGCTTGATCGCATTATAGCACCCAATTGTAGGTATCAAACACAAATATTCCTAGAGTCAGGTCGTGAACCAAGAATTTGTTATATTGTTAAACACGGTTTCATTCTTGATGGCCAATTGTGAATGCGGCAGAAACTTTAATGCATGGGTGATCTAAAGAATGTAGACAATTAGGACACTGAAAACTAATAGAGAACCACATACGTTAAAGCTAGATTGTAGAACGCATAATCCAATTATACCTTGCTCAATGATAACATCGATCACCAAATTCAGAGGTACATGCCTTTCTATTTGTGTGACTCCCCAAAAGGGTACAAACGAAGGTCTTGACACCTATGAAAATTTAGTGAAATACAAAGAATGAGTTTAACACCAATTTTTCCATCTCAAAACTAACATTACAAGTACTAACAGAACAAAAGGTACCTTGTAAACTACTTCATCAGGAGTGACATACAGTTTCCGTGACAAATTATCCTTCTGAAGCACATATCTTCTGAAAGGCAGATAGAGCAACATTAAAATTCCAATACCCCAAGCTAAAACCAGTAGCAGGGATATTGACACCCATATAATGGTATCATATTGAACATTTTTTGCAGCAAGTTCTTCAAAAGATGCCATGTACAGTATCTGTCCAGGATTATCCACTTCTTCACCACCATCCAGTTCAGATACAGGATCAACAAGCAGCAAATCTTTTGACGAACCAAGTTTAGGCAGCCCCTCCGCATGACCCATCAGCATATTTTAACACAAATCTAATAAAGAAATTTCACAAATATCAATTCAAAACCAATCTAAAATTAACAAACTAGACTCTAGAAAATATGACTCTTTAGTTTCAATGCACACTTTAGTAGTCTTACATCGAAAAAAAAGAGAGAGAGAGAGAAATTCAATGATACTGGCATTGGATAATCTGTCCAGCTGCTAATAAGCCAGTGGTAAATGCATGAAACCAATTTTCAATTTCTCACAATTAGACAATCCAAAAAAGGGAAATACTCTGGAATGAGCTTAGATATATGAAACAGATCGTATAAAATTTATATTTTAAATCACAATTTATTTTTATTTTAGAGGTATGCGTAAATTAATAAGGTTCTCTGACACTCGAGAATGTATTGATTGAGTTGTTTGACATTGAGAGTTGTGCAAAGATGTTATTGAGCAAGAAAAAAAAATTGGAATAACTTTTGCACCTTGGATCAAACTTACAATTGTTGTGCTTGTATAAATTGATAATTCAATTTTCAATTTCCTAGTTGTAATATTACATAGATTTGTTCTTTTCCAAGGCAGTGAGTTTCTTTACTTACTAAATGAACGGCTGCAAAAAATCACGTTATTTTGTTCTCTTTTCCTCTGTTTTCTAAGCAACCAAACAGGCAGAATCATTGTGCAAAACTAAAATTAAGAAACCCTGGAGTACAACTAATCAAAACACAATGATAATGGATCATTAATTATCATTCTCGAAAAACGAAAACATAAAGAAAGTCTTTAAAATTGTCAACAACTCTCTTTCCTCCGTTTTCTGAGCTACCAAACAGAGAAGATCATATGAATAGCGATACGGTGCGTGACAACTCACCTGGAACTTCTCTTCTTCGGCTGAGTCGTTGGAATATCAGAAATTCTGTCGAAATTAGAGCTTGATTAGGGTTTTCTCTTTGAGCATTTTCAGGCAACTACAGTCTCGCATGGTTTTCTGTAAAACCCCCCAAAAGATACAGCTAAAGGGGAATTCAAATACCCATATGGCGAATGGGGCACCCGATTACAGTTTATCCGAATTTGACACAGTCGGGTTGTCTGATTGTGGTTGCTAGTGTAGCATGGGTCGGATTTTAATCTAATTTTGGGCATTTCGGATTGGTACACTCCAAAAATTATCTTATCCAACAACTACTAATATCTTTTTTAAAATTACCTATTTACGGTCGCGAATTATCTATAATATTTTTTTAAAAAGGGCATTTTTAATTTAATTTCCAAATTTTGGCAATTTCCAAAATTAAAATTTCATATATAACAAAAAGAAAAGAAAAAGAAAAGACAAAATCCATGACTCGACGATCAATGAATGTCTTGTTGGTTGCCTTTAATATAACAAAAAAGTCTTTTCTCCGCACACACACACAAACACGCGTGAAAAAGAAGTATTGGAACACAAAAGGTTTTCCGTGGACCCCACATTGACCCTGGGCCCCGCCTTCTCCAACGGGAGAAAATTTTCATTACGGATCTAAATTCCAACTAAATTAACCATTTTTCCACTCTCTCTCTCTCTCTCTCTCTGTGTGTGTGTCTAAATCCATCAACCAGAATCACACGCTAAGCGCGTTGGTCATTTTCTCCATCTCTAAATAAACACTCAACCACAATTCCAAATGTCCTTTGATTATTCGCATCTCCGTCTCTAATCTATTTGTGAAATCGTAGTTAATTGAAGGTGCTTAAAGTGCGGTTCCATCAACTATTTGTTTGGTTGCTTAGAAAATTTAGGTGAAGAACAGGGAAAGGAAATCAGGTAAACCTCCTCCCCCTTTTTTTTCTTTGTGTTTGTGTTTGTGCGTATTTAATCTAATTTTTCATAGATGGGTTTCCTAATTCAGTGCCAAAATTTCTTGAATTATGAATATGGGATAAATTATTTCGTTTGCCTATTCGTATTCTTCCAATTTTATTTATTTTTTTAATAGACAAGAATGTGTTATCTTATACAATCAATAGTATGCTGTTGTTTCTTTGATACTGGTAACAGACTCCAATAATTTCTGAAATTTGGTTGAATTATTTTATTTCTAGTTATGAACTTGGGGATGACATAAAACAGTGCATCTGAAGTATGTTTCTATGATGGAATTATGTTCCAGTTGAGATGTTAGCCTATTCTTTCCAGAACAAATATTAACAAATTTTCGGAAAGTGTGCATTGAGAAAATGGAAATCTTGCTAGATGGAAACAAAAAAGTCACATTTTTTCCCTCAATTATGTCCATTTTGAAAGGGGGGAATTATCCATAATAATTTGAGCTAGAATACAACGATCAAAATTTTATTTCAGCACATTGTTTGGGTAACTTAGAAAATGGAGATGTTTCGGACACATAACGGAAAGGGGTAAAAAATTGGAGAACTTATTTTCAACACATACCGGAACATTGGTTGAAAGAAATTAAAACATTTTGAAACCACTTTGAAACATTTTCAAACATTAGTAGAAACACGCCAAAACATTCTCTAACACCGCAAAGCTTTAGAATTTTGATTCAATCACGGATTCGTTTTCGTTTCTTTGGAAACAGAAATGTTTCGGTCATTTCAAAATGAAATTTTTATCCTTGAAAAAGTACTATTCAATCTCTTGGAGGCTTGTTTGCATTGTTTATGTAGTCTTCTCATATCTTATTCCTTGTTTTGCTAGGGTTTTGGGAATTTTTTTTTATACTCCTTTTCAAGCATGGGATGCTTTGAGTATGTTACTTTCATTCATTGATGCATATCCAGCAATTGATTTATGATTTCAAAAGGTTTGGTTTTCCAATTGTGTAATTGCTGTTGCTTATAGCAGTCATAACTGTTGAACCCAATGATCCAATGGATAAGAAACAGCATATTGCAATATTTACAACTGCCAGCCTTCCATGGATGACTGGGACTGCCGTCAACCCTCTTTTCCGTGCTGCCTATCTTGCAAAAAATGGGGAGAGAAAGGTTACTTTGGTGATTCCTTGGTTGTCATTAAAAGATCAAGAACATGTGTATCCAAACATGATCACATTTAATTCAGCTTCAGAGCAAGAGAAGTATGTCCGCCAGTGGGTTGAGGAAAGGACTGGATTTATTTCTAGTTTTAACATACGCTTTTATCCAGGAAAGGTAAATTCTGCTGTGGTTTTTCTACCTTTAAACCTGTATTAAGATATAAGAATGCATCTGCTGCATTTGAATCATATATTTTGTCCTTACTGATGCGTTGAACTGTAGGCGAGAAAATAATAAGCTGGTGAGAAGCTTTAGTATGTCTTCGAAATTCATAAATTTATATTCAGTATCAAATGACTATCGAATACTTTGGGTCCTATAGATGTATGGAGCAAGACGGCAAATAACATCCGATGTACTCTGAGAGTTTGAGAAGTTCATAACTTTTCCAAATGAACTTGAATGTCTTCATCTGGTCTGCAACACTCCCAGGCATAACAGCTTCAACTTTATTGAACAAGAACTTTATGACCTTTCGTGAGTGAAACATGAGACAAAGTTTGGTTGACTATCCTTGCTACCATTGTCATGATACATCAAGCTATGTGTTGGAGCCAGTTAGGTTGTTGCTGTTGATCTTTGAAAAGGATTTTCACATAAAAATATGAGAGGCACGGCAACATTTTTCCTATATAGACATCTCAAGCAAATGCCTTTTTACTAGCCTTCAAAAAATGAGCCTTTTCATCAGTAGAAGCTAGGAGGAGAAAAGTTGAAGGGTTTTTCCACATCAGTATGGAGTATACTTGGTCATCCCCCAAGTGATGCATATGCATTTCTTTTTTGAGGTTCTCTTCTCTTGCTTTACAATTTTGTACCTTGGAATGGTACACAGGCAATCCTGTGCTTAACTTCAAAGCCTCACCAGTTGCACTAGTGAAATTATGAGATGCCAGTAGAATATAAAATGAGTGAGAAAAAGCCATTGTGGCTTCTTTTATCTATATTGTTTGACTTATGGTGACACTTGGTTCAAATGTAGCTTTTTGAGATATTGTATGCTTGATTCTATGGGTCAAAAGCCATCCTTTTTCCTTTAATTTCTATTGCTGGTTTAAAGTCCAAACATGCTTCAGGAGTAGAAATCTACAGATTTTCCTTGATCTTTACCCTTTTTATTGCATTTACTTTTTGAGTCGAATTCATGAACAATGAGATTTGAGCTATGGTGTCCACACCATGTTAACTTTAGGCTACAGCATAACTTATTTATGATATGTGATATAATATTTTATATATAACTTTACGTATGTATTCTCGTTTAGATTTCGATGAAAGCCCTTGCCATTGAGACTTCAAGTGAGTTTAACAGCCCACTTTAGTGAAATTGGTCAATTGCTACGTTGCTATGACATTAAAGAATTTTTGGCATGTTCAATTAGATGAGGAGTCTTTTCCCTAATATGTTCACATAGTTTTAGTTCACTCAACTTATTTCAGTTATCTTTAATGAGTTACCCGAAATATCACTTGTAATACATTTTCATGCTTGCGATGCAGTTTTCTCAACACAAAAGGAGCATTCTAGCTTTAGGTGATATTACAGAAACCATACCTGATGAAGAGGCAGATATTGCTGTCCTAGAGGAGCCCGAGCATCTTACATGGTATCATCATGGGAAGAGATGGAAAAAAAAATTTTGCTTGGTTATAGGAGTTGTTCACACCAATTATTTGGAATATGTGAGGAGAGAGAAGAATGGACAAGTGCAAGCATTTATTCTGAAATACCTCAACAGTTGGGTTGTTAATATATATTGCCACAAGGTATGTTTCTGGATAAGTTTTTGTTTAATGGAATGATCCACTAGTCATAAGGGGTAGACTGTTCTATTTCTGTTACTTGCATGTATTGTTGGCATGCTTTTATTGTTCAGTTGAAATGTTTCTGGATAAGTTTTTGTTTAATGGAATGATCCGCTGGTCATAAGGGGTAGACAGTTTTATTTCTGTTACTTGCATGTATTGTTGGCATGCTTTTATTGTTCAGTTGAAATATTACCCTTGAGTATAAGATACTTTGAAGTTAGAACAAAAAGTACCCTTCAATGTAGGATTACTTGATTGGTAGTTGTTTCTTCTTCTATCGGCATTTTGGTTAGATTTAGTGAATGTTTCACATAAATGTGAGCTGTTAATTGTCAAATCTATCAGTTTTTGTTGACAAATGATTATCATGTAACCCTCAGTAAGGCACCAAAGTTAACCTTGACTGGATGAATGATGATGTGATGCTTTGCTTAATGCTATTGTGATGACTGTTTAGGTGATTGACAATCATCAAAGAACTAATTCAAGTGTTGATAAGGGACTTCTAGTTTCCATTTTTCTGATTTATAGCTTTTGATATGTATCCAAAAGTACTAACGGTTTTATAATATATTGCAATTGGGGTGTGAGTGTCATTGCACATCAGATGCTAATAATGAGTTCAGCAGGCCATTATATTGGTTCTATGGTCATCAAGTGCCACTGATGTTTCCAGTTGATATCAGATTTGGAGACAAACATACTATTGTGGTCATTGTAGGCAGCTTGAATTGTTGGTTTTCCAAGAATAACTGAATAAGACCCAGTAGGTTGTTCAGTTTCTGTGTCTATCTTGCACTGCCCTAGATGGTACATGTATGGGAAAGGATCAAAATTTTGTTTTGGAGCATTATTTCTATCACTAGGAAATGTAAATGTTTTGGAAACAGAATGGAAACAAGTAGAGTGTTTGGGAATTTATTTTTGATACATTCTGAAACATTGGTCAAAATAAAACCAGAACGCCATGGAACACCTTAAAATATTCCGAAACATTGGTAGAGGCATGCCAAAACACTTCGAAATATTCTGAAATACCTCAAAGCATTGAAATTTCTATTCAATCATTGATTCGTTTCCATCTCCTTGGAAAAGGAAACATTTTGGCCGTTTTGAAACAAAATTTTGATCCTTGAGTATGGGTCCATGTATGAACATGCATATATAATAGATTAGGGAATAAGGGGACAGTTTAGCTGGTTTCTCGACCTGATTATTTTTTCTTTTGATGAGATGGTGTACTGTTACTGGTAAGCTAAGCTTGGAATCCAGAATGGGTCAGGGTTGGCTTGGTTTTTTCTTTGACATGGAAGTAATGATTCTGGCTCAATTGCATTAGTAGTTTTTAATCAATGGGGTGCAGGTATTGGGAGGGCTTTTGGAGTTGTGACTGGTGTGATTGTTTGTTTGTTGGTTTTTGTTGTGACCTGTTATAGTTGAAATTTCACTTGTTTCAGACCTGGAAATTGGACTAATTCAGTGTCCATTGTACGTAGACTGGCAGAGTGTGTGTATTACGGAAGCGTTACATACAAGAAATGCCTTTTGATTTCTCTTCTTTCTTATGCATTTCTTTCCTTATGTTGCTATGTTAGAGTGATAAAACATGTAATTCTAATGATTTTGAAAGTAATACCAAACTTTGGGTGGTACTTTGCAAGTGACTGGTTCGCGGATACCCTCTGGCTCTCTCAAAATGTAGCATCGTTTGTCTTGCACACATTGTACATTGAAGGGTACCTTCCTAGTGTTGCTGACAGTTGGATCTTTTAGAACTCGTATTGTTTCCTGCTATATTTTCCAGTTCACCATCCACACTATGAGCGAGGCCGCTATGGAGGTCCAATTGGCTTTCTATTTGTGTATGAAATGTGATTTACAGTTTTAGTAGATATGTTTTAAGAAACTTAATCCTGCTTCTTCCCCTGATTTTTATCAATATGTCTTTTATTTTTTGTGCTCGCTGAACATTACTTGTCTTGAAATGGCAGGTTATAAGGTTATCTGCTGCCACCCAGGATCTTCCAAGATCCATTATCTGCAATGTTCATGGAGTCAATCCTAAGTTCCTTGAGATCGGCAGAAAAAAGAGTGAGGAGGGAAGCCAAGGCTTCAGCAAAGGTGCCTACTATATAGGGAAAATGGTGTGGAGTAAAGGCTATAAGGAGCTACTGAAACTTCTTCGTGATCATCAAAAGGAATTGGCTGGACTTGAGGTTGATTTATATGGTAATGGGGAAGACTCTGCTCAAGTTGAGGAAGCTGCCAAGAAATTGGAAGCAGTTAGGGTTCATCCTGGGCGTGATCATGCTGATCCTTTATTTCATGAGTATGTCCGTCACCTTTTCTGATCTCCTCATGATATCAATCGGTTTTTTCTTTATTATGCTGGTAGAAAGTAGAAAATAAGAAGCTAGGTTAGTTAAATAGAGGAAAATATTTCGAAGATGCTTGAGGGTGCTTGTGGTACAAGTCATTGCTGTATTATCCATTCTTGGTTCTCATCTTCTTTTACTCTGAGAATTTTGGGGGTAGAAATCAGGCTACTGCACCAATCGTCTATTTGCATGCTTTGCTAAATTTTTTATATCTAGTATAAAAAGATTGCACTTCTCCTGATAGAAAGTGAGTATACAAATAAAATAAAATATAGACGGTAATATGGGCGAAGTGTGGTAGGGGTGGCTCAACAATATTTGAGGCTTAAAGTAATGATGGTCAATAATATTTTTATATTTTTTTAATAATAATTTAATTTTTTAATTTAAAATCTATTATTTTTACTTTTTGATGAGATTCGAAATTGCTAATTTTTTTATTTAAATTTTGCTAATATATTGTTTTAATTAATAATATGACTTTTAATCATAAATATTTGTAGGAATAAAATTAATTTCTTCATTAATATTTTTATGTTCTTTTTATTTATTTTATATGTTCTTTATTGAAACTGTGGAATTAAATAATTGACTTTATTATAAATAAATTCATTATTATCTTTCTTTTGGATTATTTTACTATCTTTGAATTTTATTTATTTATTCATGCAATTTTTATCTAAATTTTTATTATATTTTATTTGTTACGAATAAGAACTTTATTAAAATTTGCATTCAAATGAGAAAAAAAAATAAGTTTAAGAGAAGTAAAGAATATATTTGGTTTATTTTTTAATTTTTTTTAACTAAAGAGAGATGTTTATTATACTTCTTTCGATTGAACAAAGAGATATATTTTGTCAGCATTTTTTTTATTAATCTTTTTTGTCCTTTAATAAATGCGATTGTGTAAGGAGTTCTGAACTTTTGAGACCAAATTTTTAATTTTTTTGTTGGTTGACTCTTTCAAAAATTAATTTGTTAGGCAATATTGTAGTAAATTTATTTTTTAATTTATATTATATTATTGATCTTTAATTTAGGGCCTTTTTCATATGTAGGGCCTAAAACCCCCGCTTTTATTTTTATACTATAGGCCGCCCTGAAGTGTGGGTGAAATGACATGAGCCGACCATTGAAGAAGTATGCATCAACTGCAACTTTGAGTAAATAATGACTTAATGAGCAATGGAATGACTGCAGGGTCTTTGGTAAACATGTCAGTGGAAGGGCCTGAAAAGGGATCAGACATATTGGCGGCAAAACCCCCCTTTCCCTGGGGGATACTATTTTATTAAAGAAAACAAGCCTTTTTTGTTTTTTTTTTTTGAGGGGGGTGTTACTTAGAGAAACCTGCTTCTTTTAGTATTTGATAAAGACAGGTTTGCAACTCTGTTTAGAAAAAGGACATGGAATCCCCTTCCCCAAAGAAAGAAACATTCTTCATTGTCTATCAAAATTAAAATGCACTTGGGTTGAAGCTTGGCTTGGTTGGTTCCAGGTTTATTTGACCTGGTATAGTTCTGGGTAACCATAGGACAAGGAAGGGACTAAGGAGGATAGAAAAGTATCCATTGCCTCATATGGAAAGTTTATTTCAAGGGAAATAAGATAGACTTACTTATTATCCAACTCGACCTAAACAGCATTAACCACTGGGATCTCTGTATCAGATGGTTAGTGCCTGATCATTTTATTGGGTCATTCATGGACAAGATTCATGTCTATTGGTTGTTATTGTGCTGATCTAAAATTTTTCTCCTTTATGCTTGCCATTTCCCTAGGTACCAACAAAACGTTTAGCATTATCGTGATCCTTCCTTACGGGGAACCTCCTGGTGCACTTGCCTATTTTTCAACAATGACTACCAAAAAAAACTCTTCATATTTCTAGAATAATTGACTGTCAAGGATTCCTGCGCATGCCCACAAGCTGATAACATGGTGCTTAGGTATTTAATTTGTGACAAATATTCTTTTTGCAACCTCTGGTACTGCCACTATATCTTCTAGCAGAAAGCAGCTGCTGCCTGCTCTTCTGAGGAACTTTGAACTCCAGCGACCAATAGATTCTGTTCTCCATCTAAATATATTTTTAAAGATGTTCAACATGGTTTAGAGTTTCATTTCTAGATGTCTTATTATCCTCTTCTTAATCCAGCTATAAAGTGTTCCTGAATCCAAGTACCACAGATGTCGTCTGCACAACCACAGCTGAAGCATTGGCAATGGGGAAAATAGTTGTTTGTGCTGATCATCCCTCAAATGAATTTTTCAAGCAATTCCCAAATTGTCGAACATATGAAGATGGCAGTGGGTTTGTGAAAACTACACGCAAGGCACTGGCAGACGAGCCTGCCCCCCTGACTGATGCACAAATGCATGAGCTCTCATGGGAGGCTGCCACAGAACGGTTTCTAAACACTGCAGAACTGGACAATGTCCCTGCAAAAAGACTGACAAATAAGCCATCAAAGCTTTTTACGTCTACATCTTTGAATTTTCGAAGGAATCTCGTGGATGCATCAGCATTAGTTCATTTTGTGGGAACTGGGCTCCTGAGTTCTCAACCAAATGAAGAGCAATGTAAAGAGCTTGGCATGTCCGTCCCTTCAAGAAAGTGGCGAATCTCTCCGAGGAAACGGGAGAAAAGTTATGCAAATTCTCTGTTTTAAATCTCAGATGGCTGAGGTGCCAGAGTACAGTCACTGATGCAAGGATTTTTTGTTGGTTATTTTGTATGTTGTTGTCTAGAATGAGAAATGGTTGAAGGATGGGTGGACTAACGTGCTTGAATGTTGTATAGCAGAATTGTATATGTAGCATACTTCCGTTGTAAATTTTCCATTCTTGTATCTCTTCCTTTCCTTGGCGTAGGGTGTAGGGGGTTGACATAGTTTTTTTTTCTCTTGTACCTGTATTAATAAGATTTGATGGTTGGTTATGGGTAATTTAAGCATTTATTAGGAATGTCAATTGAGTCTCATGTCTTATTATCTTCAAGTCTCAACTTCTATCCAATTATCTGAATTTAACTTCTGAAATTCCTCCCACATGAATTTTGGCTAATTTAAGCCATTTGATTAGGGGTGTCAATTTCGTTATATCTTTATCATGTCGTGATTTGATCGTGTCATTTCGCCTCCTCTTCTTGTGAGTGTGTCAAAGCAACATTCTAATAAGCAGATGGTCTCTCATTGATTATACGACCATCTAAAAGTCCTCTAATTTTAGAGGATATGATTCNTTTATCATGTCGTGATTTGATCGTGTCATTTCGCCTCCTCTTCTTGTGAGTGTGTCAAAGCAACATTCTAATAAGCAGGTGGTCTCTCATTGATTATACGACCATCTAAAAGTCTTCTAATTTTAGAGGATATGATTTCATCCTACAACGTCAATTTCTATTGATCATAGTACCGTATTCTACTCTTAATTTTTTTTTATATTATATCACAATTATTATATATTCTTAGTATTATATCACAATTATTAAATTTACAACTTCAATTTGGTATCTTAGTACTTGACCCGAGGTAAGGGTGATAATTGTGTCGTGTCGTATCATTTTTTGGATTTGTGTTAAGTATTAGTCGACTCATTTAATTAAGTGTGTCAAAATGACATGTTTATTTTTGTGTTAATCTATATAATTCATGAATTAAAATTTTTATATTATCTCTAAGTCAAACTCACACTNATTTACAACTTCAATTTGGTATCTTAGTACTTGACCCGAGGTAAGGGTGATAATTGTATCGTGTCGTATCATTTTTCGGGTTTGTGTTAAGTATTAGTCGACCCATTTAATTAAGTATGTCAAAATGACATGTTTATTTTTGTGTTAATCTATATAATTCACGAATTAAAATTTTTATATTATCTCTAAGTCAAACTCACACCCGTACTCTTTTTTTATAAATTAAAAATTAAACTAATAAATATAATAATAAAATAATTACAAAAATCCTTTTTTTATAGATGAGTTATGTCAATATTTGAGAAAAAATAATAAAATCTGACATTTTTTTTATAATATTAGTGATGATATTGTTGTATCATACGTCGGAAAAGCAAATGGAGCCACAAAGGGAAGGTGAAGTGCACCCGAGTGGGCCGCCGTCCCCGATAGTTTCGAGTGGCCGGATAGTTCCTCCGGCCGCCTATCCGTTCATGGTCCGGAAGCACGCATCCTTCGAATACTTCGTCGAGAGAGGGAGGGAGAGAGAGAGATGAAATCCCACATCATAACATTTCCTTTGGTCGAAATCTGGAGACTAAAACCCAGAAAAACCCTTGATAAAAAACCCACTAGTCCATCATGTATAGGTATATATAATATATGTCTTATATTATGGTGTATATGTGCGTGTGTATGTCAATATAAAGCATTCATTGTGTTAATTCCTTTTCCCATTGCAGAGACTGGAAGTGAAGAGAGAAAGAGTGGACATGGCTGAGCAGCACTTCTCGGATGTTCCTCCCACTGGCTGAATGATTGAAAGCTAGACCCGTAAGTCTAAAAATGGTAATTAAGTCTTCAGTAACATATCATCATAAATGTGCACATTCACTATTAGTTTCTTAAATAAATTGACACTTATTTTAGCCTATGAAATTAGGAATTGTAGGATTTTTGTTTTTTCTGTTTGCTTGTGTTGGTATTCTGAAATAGGTTGCTATTCAGCTTGGCTGCATTAAACTAGGAGGAGTGAATCGGGACAATCCTAACTGTCGGTATTATTTGTACAAATTGAATACCCTAAGATTAAAACCCAGTCACCTACAAACAATAGCCAAAGGATTTTACCTCTGTATTAGACAATGGCTCTTAATGGGACAAAATAAGGTCAAGCTTTTATGGGTGAGTTAGTGTTTGTAGCATAACGAGAGATTATAATATTTCAGATAGATGTTGCAACAAGCATTACCAGGTTTCGTGTTTAATGAACGTAATCTGGTCGCTCTTTTATTGAATGAGGAAACATGTATATATGTTGGAGTAGTGTTATAGATAAGGGATGAGTGCTAAATAAAGTAACATCTGGATTTGGGAGAATTCTCAATCTTTCTAAGATTTTGTGGAACTTGATGAAATCATTGAAGCTGTTAAACACTACAACATATGATGTTTATCGTTGTGTTTCGTGAGATTAATTACAGTTGGCATGGGAAAAAGTATCTTGGAGATAAGTGACATTTGCTTTGTGATTGGAAATTGTAACAGCCAGGTTTTGTTTGGATGTGTGATGTGGGAAAATGAGACTTAATTGCTATAGTTGACAGAGATGATTTAGTCATGGAGGTGATGGCTTTCTTGAAGAGGGAGTAGTATGGACTCCTTGAGTTTGTATGACGGAGAGGAGTCTCTATTGTTTCTGAATCTCTTTGACAATTAGATAGAGGAAGAATTGCATGAGGTCGATAAGGTGAAGAATAGGAGGCGTCCATGAATTCATTATAGTCTTGCATTAGAGGGGATTGGGGGCCTTTCTTACCTTGGAATGGGCCACTAAAATTTGTGAGGCCATGCCCTCCTTACCTTGGAGATTGTTAGTCATTCACTATTTTGTAGAGATGTGAGATGCCTTCTGGCGTTGTTTATTTAGGGTTTGTTAGGTCATTGTGGATTTGATGAAGGCCTGTGATGGAGCATGGGTTATGGGCGGAAGGGAAACTCAACACCTTTAGTTTGATAATATCTGCACAGATGGGAGGGGAAATAAGAGAGGTTTTGAGGATGCAGAATGTCTATATTTAACTTCAGCTGTTAAATAAAATTTTAATGCATTATTTGAAGTACAAAATCTTAGTATGCTTGTATATATACTTGATGGGATTCTTTTTCTTCATTTATTTCATTTTCTCCCCCCCCCTTTCACTTGACATTATTTCTTGGGTTTTAGATAATAGTTGAGCTCTTGGATACCTCGTGCAGACTGTGGGAGTTCTCTTTTTCTTAATGGTATATAATTGTTGTTCTGCACTTATTAATAAAAAGTTATGTGTGTGGGTATATATATATATTCTATGACCATTCTAATTTTAGAGATGTTTTGTTTGGAGAAACACCTTGATTTAGATTCCAATTAACGATACTATCACAAATATCCCTGGTGTGAGGAATTATGTAGCCACACCATTCCCATCTTGATATTGTCACTATCCATTACCGCCGTAACCACCACTGTGCCTTCGCCGCAGGTTTTACCCTCCTTATTTTCACCACCCTTGTGTCGCCAAGATGACCAAACCAAACCAAGTCTTATGTCCAAATCATTTGAGATCGGCTATATCTTGTCAAAAAGATTAACAACTTACCCAAATCATAAGGTTACCACTTACCAGCCCCAACTCATGCTTGTTAGGGTATATTTGGAGAGGGATAAACCCGAGTTGGGTTAGCGACGGAATTTGTTTTAAAGAGATTTCCATTTTATATTCTTTTTGCCAAGTTACCCCTTGATTTTAGTGAAAATGCCAAAATTACCCTTCTCCATGTATAAATATCAGGATGCAACATCCTAATCCCTTTTGACTCTCATTGTTGCGCCATCCAGCCGAAGCTTCTTGTTCCGGCCACCACCCACCATACTTTCCACTATAGCCTGCTGATGTATGTTCACTTCTAAACTCTTTATGTTAAGTAATTCTTTTGAATCTATCAGAGTTTTTGAGTTTTTGGTACAAAAATGTTAGGTTTATAATAACTTGCTGTTTTTGGCTGTTGCTATTGCCAAAGAAAAATTGATTGCCATTAAAGTACCGTGACGGACAATTTTACTCACTAATTTCACACTACTTTAGTGGTTTTGTAGAAACTAATTCTGATTTAGGAAGATATACCCTTTTGGATTTTGTCATGCAATTAATTAACATACGATCTCTTGATTAATTAGATTTGTCTTACAATTTGTAGATTTGTCTGATGTATTTTCCCTTTGTCTATTTTTTTCTTTTTAAGTGATCGACAACCATTTCTATCATTTTGTTGTCATAAATTTGCGATCATCAGCTATCTATCTATTGTTTTTGTATCTTTTTGATGAGCTCCTTTCACTTGTAGAGGTTTGGTATATGGTTGAGGGAAATTGACAGGGAATCTTTTGTTGGATACATATTAGAAGGGGTTTTTTCAAAGGGGCAGGTTATGTTTCTAGGGTAGACTTGCCACACCTGCATTGTTTCCATGTATACCTTCCCTTCTGCCATGAACAAAGAGAGAGGCTAGCTCATGCTGTCATAGGAAATGAACATTGGAGCTTTGCATTTGTGGCTTTTTTTCTTTTAGATTTATTTATTCTTGCATAATGACTTGTGACATATGTATTCCTCGCACATTCTTGATGTATTTAATTGCTTTCTTCAATTTATGAACCATGGTTTTATTTTGTTCGGAACAAAAAGTTATTCGTGCTAGGTAGACAATTTATATTCAAAAGTCCTCTTTGTAATTGTCATTGCATGGAAGTGGGGGTTTATGAAGTTGCATTTTTATCTTCTTATTTGCTTCATGGTTACCACAATTCACTAAATCCTTAATGACCCACGATTTAGATACATCGATCCCAAACGAGGTGGATTCGCGATCCACATGACCAAAATGGACGCCCCAAATTATAATGCTAACCCTAAATTAATTCGCTTTAGAACATATAGCACAAATATAAAATGTATATTAATTAACTACATATATATAGATTTATAATTATATATTGTTTTAGATAATAAAAAATCAAGCACAATTATAAGATAAATGGTAGCTAATTTTATGAATGTTCTGTAATATATAATGTTGTATAGTAGTGAAAATGATCTACATAAGAGTTCCAAAATAAATTGCGATCCAAAATACCGTACCAACTAAACCTACCTCTATTGGATCGCGTACTTAATAACGTGTCATACTATATACCCGTACCCATACCACGTACCAAAGCGACCCATGATTTAGGTAACATTGGTTTGCTTTCATGTGTGTGTGTGCATGTTTCTATGGGTGTAAGTAAATCTCAAGTGGTGCATAATTTTTGATTTATGAGTGATCACTCCTCCACTTCATCTTTTCTTTCAATTCTGGCTGATCCAGTCTACTATTGTACATTGATGAGGGACCCACTTGAATATAATGGGTCTGACTTGAATTATGGTGGGTGACTTCTTTAACAAGAACTTGAAAGCGATTGGGATAGGGGTTGGGCCTTACTTGGACTTAATAATATCGTTTTCCCTTATTCGGAAGAGATGATTTTAGTGACAAAATTGCATTGAATACAAAGAAACTCCTGACATCGTTTTCTTGATCCTCTATGAAATATGCATTTAGGAGTTCTATTGCTGTTTCTGCTGCCCAATTTTCATTGCATCAGTATTTTAAAAGGAAGTAGACAATGTGGCTTAGTAGTGTCTTGTCTTATGCATCCGACACTTCATCCCTACTTGATGCAGGATGTATAGATATATATTGGAACAAAATAAATAAGATGTAGTAGGAAGGGTAAGCAAATTTTTTTAGTGGAGCCAATCGTTTGTGAGACGTATTGGACTCCAAGCATAATATTATTGTAGTAGCCTTAATTTAGACATAAATATGTTCTTCAAAAACTACTCTACGAAATAGCTATACGTTTTTCTTCTCTAAAATGTGCTCTTCGCAACAGGCACATCCCCTTTCCCCTGAAAAAATAATAAATAAAAAACCCGACACACACACTCATACACAAAGTGTGCTGCTATTTACTTCCTGTTGGTATGTAAACTGGATTATAGTTATCTTCCTTCAATTTTAAAGCGAATACATGATTGTAATATCAAGCGGAATATTTTATCTAAAATGTCTGAAGTTGGTGTTAGAATTATGTGTCTGTTGAAAGTGTGTTTCTGTGTATATTAGCCTAGATTGTGTTCCATACTCCCACCTATCTGAAATATAAAGACAACTCCAAATGTCACACATCCNTCAATTTTAAAGCGAATACATGATTGTAATATCAAGCGGAATATTTTATCTAAAATGCCTGAAGTTGGTGTTAGAATTATGTGTCTGTTGAAAGTGTGTTTCTGTGTATATTAGCCTAGATTGTGTTCCATACTCCCACTTATCTGAAAGATAAAGACAACTCCAAATGTCACACATCTGCCGCTTACCTACCGTTAAGGTGGCACCAGTTGAGATCTAGCTAAGGTAAAGAACTTGGTGTGTTTTCAATCCTGATTTTGTTGCATCATTTTATACAGAGGAAGTGGAGAGAGTCATCAGTTGTCTGAATGGCAGAAGAGGTGAATGCCCACGTGGCAGAAAAGGAAGATGTGAATGATGATGTCACAGAAAAGGAAGAGGTGACAGATGATGTCATAGAAAACGAGGGGTTGAATAATGACGTTGCAAAAAAGGAAGAGATGAATGACGACATTTTACTTTATCCCAATTGGTTCAGATCTATAGAGGATAAGGATGGTTCTTCGTTTGAAGTAATTCAACATCCCCTCCTCATATCTCAGTCAATTTTTGGTTTCCCTTAAATCAAATAATACATGCTACTTTTGTTTCTTCCTGTTGGAAGTTGAAACCAGTGTCATGGTTTTATTGGGGTTTGCACTTAAATGATATGTTGCTGAAAATTTAGTTGTTTGTGCTAGGTTAGTTAAATGGTTGATTTGTTCATGTCAACCCAAGAATTGACTGTAACATAGGGCCACATCTCACTCCCATCTGTCTTTTTTATGTTTTTTACTTTTTGTCTTTTTGTGTTTGTATAAAGTTGCTGCATGGTGTTGATGTGTTGAGCTAGGTAAAAAATGCTGATTTCCTCCAAAAAAAATCCATTTGATCCATATTAAGTGGCCAATGTTCCCTTGCACGAACTTGTAGTTAGCAGGCTCATACAGAACATTGCCTTTCTAACTTCCAAGTGGCATGGTATATTGACATGTTTCATATAAGGAATGATTTTGCTAAACAACCATCTACTCCAAAAGGTTAAACTATTAGAGTGGATATAACTTAAGTATTTATGACATGCAGGTTTGATTTTGGGCCTGACACGTGGAATTTTTTTTTAGTAATTTAGGATGATAGCGAAATTTGAACACAAGACCTCTTGCTCTAATACTAAAACAACCATCTACTCCAAAAGTTTAAGCTATTAGAGAGGGTGTAATTTAAGTATTTATACTTCAACAAGTTTCTTATTCAAACCACTGGGTAGAGTTGTAAACATTAGCTAGGTAATGAAGAAGTTCCTCCCCTTTCTTGTTTGTAAGAACCCCTTGATCCCTTTCCCTTGCAGTTGCCTCATATGTTAGCTATTAGGATAGGCTGCTTCAATAAACCAGCCTCTTCGCTTTAGTTCACCCATGGAAAATTTTGTGTTTCATAAATATATCAAAATAAGTTGTATTTCATAACTAAGTGCAACCCCGTGGTTTGGCGCGTATGTTGGTAACTTGGTTCATTTCAAGCTTGTCTATCTGAAAATCAAATTTGACAGTGTTGCACTGTTTTTTTTTTCTGGTATGCCACTGTACTTTTTTGTACTTATTAATGCTGCTAAGGAAGAGATGCAATAAGATTTGTTCAATGGCTAATATCAACTTATAGTAGGATCTGTGGTTTTGCAATTCTTTTAAATGTATGAGATGAAGAGATGAGACTTGTTGGGATAGACTAACTTCGCTGCTTGTGGAGGATGAATGATGGGTTCTTCATGTCTTGAAAATAATATTCTAACTAGGGCATGACTGTATGATTAAAATGCATCAAGTACGTGTTGAGGTTTTACTAAGGGCATTAAAATTTTATCATTCCAATCTCTTGTATTTGTGAAAGGTGAAAGTCACTTTAACAAAGAACTAGTCAGAAATTGGACTGAGGGTTTATAATTTAGTGCTAATTTACGCATCAGATTTTGTCCTGAGAATGAAGTAGTGGATTCATGCATGCGATATGATTGGTGCCAGAGGACGAAAGGTATTAGCCTGTCGATACCTCCGGACTAGACGTGTTCCTTCGGTCTTGAGGCTTTTGGTGTGTTATTCTGGGATTCAGTCAAATATCAAAGCCACTACCCACATCACGGGTTCCAATTCCAATCATGGGAGAGTGATCTGTGGGCCAGAGTAAAATTAGTGGCAAAATTCGTGGGAAGGGCATAATTTTTGGGTTAGTGTCAATGGAGTGGGTCGCTGGGGAACATTGGCTCAGAAGTGTGGTGATGTGTAATGATGAAGTGTAAGGACTCGGGTTGACGCTTTCCATCCATTGTCAGGTTTTCCTGTATTGGTCTGGGTTCCAAACCTTGGTGCATCACCACATTCTGATATGTAACTTGGAAAATTTTGAAATTGAAACTGTCTTTATATTTTGGACCTCTAGTTGTTTGTCTTTCTTATCTGTGGCTGTTGTAGTGTTACAAGAATTCACAGACTGGGCAGACTTTTTACTCTCAGGAAGATTTGACACGTTATTTGACTTATGTGACAGAAGTACGTCCTGTCCTTGGAGGTATGTTCAAATATCTTATACTCTTGTCCGTTCACCTTTAACTTTTAAATTATTAGTTAATAATACCATGATATGCTTTGGTGTTTGGCCTTGGTTTCCATACGCATTTACCATGATTGTTTCCAATGCCACTTTCATAGGTTTTTTTAGAAGTATTTAGAAGGGGGTTTTCTTTAATGTTTCTTGTATGGCTTCGTTTAGTTTTTTTCTTCCCTCATCCTGGTGCCAACTTGTACATATGTTTTCATGGTACAGTCTTTTACCAACTATGTAGTGATTCTCCAAAAAGCATGAAAGATTGTTTGGCACATTGTATTTTACTGTTGAACTGCTTTCTTGTCTAATAAGTGAGGTACGCATGTAAGCAATCGAATCATGTGAAAGTATCGTTCATGTACAAAATTGAGTGATGTTGCAAAAAGAAGAAAATTCTCTCAAGATTGTTCAATGAACATATTATGTGCACACTTTGAAGAATTTAGAAAACAAACAAAAAATAGAATCGGGGAAAGGAAACCCTCTTCGAGGGGGGTGAAAACTCTCGTTAGTTCACTTCGAGGGGAACCTGACCTTCCAAGCCTTCACAAGAAAGTTTACCAGAATACNCAAACAAAAAATAGAATCGGGGAAAGGAAACCCTCTTCGAGGGGGGTGAAAACTCTCTTTAGTTCACTTCGAGGGGAACCTGACCTTCCAAGCCTTCACAAGAAAGTTTACCAGAATATCCAGCATACCTATTTCATTAATAATGAGGTCTTTAAATACATAATGAAAACAACTATAAAGATAACCAGCACACTCTATTACTCCACTACATAGATAACCACCTAAAAAAAATACTCTTATCACTAACCCATTTACAAAAATAATTTTCTAGTAACTACTTCTAATGCTACATAAAAATATATAAAAAATGGGCACATAACATAACACAAGGTCAAAAGAAAAGTTAGATTATTGCATGGTTATCAAAATTCTGATGCAGATCAATTCCACTGTCTGGTATAGACAAATTGATTTGACTCTCTTGGTTAGTGGTATGCGCATCTTCTATTTCGTCAACAGGATTTCCGAAAACTCGAGAATCAGGAGGTGACACATCTTTGGACCTTTGGGGACAGTTGGCAAACATGTAGGTCTTTGCATGAAATGGATTCTTTTACTATGTACAATTCATGCTTTATTACGAATTAATATTTCTGTGAACCCATCCTAAGCTTATATCTAAGTTAAAGCTGCCAGTTTTAGGTGCAAAGAGTTTATAACCCATTGATCTGGAAAAAATAACGAGCTTTCCACACGGAAGTTGCTGCTTATTTGCTTTTTAAGGATTGGTCTCATATGCTCGACCGATTGTTCAAGTGTGTCTGCTAGGATAATTACTCACACCTCATTTTAAGCAATGTTCCTAATTCATTCTGGATTCTGGTGCTAGTGCAGATAAAGGTTTCTGCCCAGACGGCCTTCCCAAGGAGCACAATGGAAAGAAAGGCAAAGCTGTTAGACGCAGATCAGCTGCCATAGCTGGAGTGAAACAGAAGAAGAGCTTGAGTGGCAAAGTGACGAAGAGCTTGAGTGGCAAAGTGAAGAAGAGCTTTAGTGGCAAAGTGAAGAAGCTACAGTTAGGTTAGGTAAGGTGGTGTTCTTGTCTAGGTACTCTCTTTTTTTATTCTTTTTTTTTTGTGTGCGTGTGTGTGTGTGCGCACTCGCCCCGGTTGTGTGTTTCCTCCTCCTTACCACCCTATATACGGGTACCTCTGTTGAACTGGCTGTTTCAGATTTTTATTTTGTCATAAAGATTGTCATTGTACAACAGGTTCCGCCCAATAAAGGGGGATAATTGAAGTCTCTCTCTCTCTCTCTCCTGAGCACTGTTCCAATAACTGTTAATAATCACCGCATCCAATAACTATGACATTTGATTAGGGAGTTTCTCTGGTCTTTTTTGTTAGGTTATGATTGGTTGGTGGGTGACTTTGCATGTCAATTAAGTTTGAGCTCGCAACAGATATCTAGTTGTGGTTGGTTACTGTTGTGTTTTGCTCTCTCTTCATCGCGAGGCGTAACAATTTTACTATGTCAGCATTTCTATAAGGTGTTACCGTCCAATAGAATATTTGAAAAATGAATAAAGTGACTTCACTTCTTTATATGAAGAGGTTATTGAATTTTGTGGAGTTCACGGGCCTATTTGTTTATGTATAATTGAATAGATATATTACGTGGCAATGTGAATACGGTGTAACTGTTATACTGAATATTTTCTCGTTCATCACCCCCAAAATTAAAAAAAAAAAAACCATAGCCTCATGTGGGTTATGGATCAAATTGTATTGTTAACTGTCTGAAATTTTTTGCATAATATAAGTATTTATTCATGCAAATAAGCTTTTTGTATGTATACCTTGACCCACACCATCTTACTAATGGGATGCATTCATTCCCAATTTCGCTTCGGACAACCATCCATTTAACGAAATATGTAAAATTATGGTGTCCAATTTATTTATAGCTTTGTGGAATAGAAATGAAATTCAATGTATTTGATTCAAAACTATTGAAGTTTGTCACTTAATCATTTATATCCTTTAACATTTAAAATATTATATATAGACCCTTAAAATTTATACGCACTTAATATTTAAACCCTTATCGTCAATGTTCGTTACAATATCTATTAGTAAATTACACTTAAACTTTATGAAATTTGTAAGCATATAAAACTTAAACTCCTGAAGTTTGTAGCCATTGTGGCAGCATTAGCCACCCATAGTAAGCGGGGGGTCTCAAAAAGTCTTTGTGGAGGTAACGAGCCGTCTCAAATAGTATTTGAGACAGCAAATAAACTTTTGTGATAGTATTACTGCCACAATTTTTTTTTTCTTTAAAACACAATTTTTTTATGCCCATGAACAAAGTTGCCACAAAAAAACTTGTCACAAAGGCCCCTAATTCTTATAGTTAATATTATAACAATGATAATTTATAATTTACAATTTACACCCGTAAAGTATGCAAACAAAATTATTTGATCCCTGAATTTTTAATTGATTTACATTATTAAAATTTTAAACGAGTTTTATTTTAGTGATTTCATTCAGAACAATTAATTTATTCCAGCAAAAAGACGTCACATCCATAACAATATATTTGTCTAACAAAAAATATTTCTATCAAATATGTTAATATTTCTCTCATTGTCTCACAATATCTCACTCTATATTTTTTTTTTGAGTTTGTTATTTTTTTCCTCCTCAAAATCAGATATAATAGAATAAATTTTTTTTAGCCTACACGTAATAAAATTTTCCTAAGACAAATATATGATTTTATGCTGGTCACAATGACAAAAAATATATTTTGTCATAATAAATTGGTAAATCTTGATGTAAAAACTAATCGAAACTTGATTAAAACTTTAAAGATTTGATCAAAAATTATTCATATTAAATAATAAATTTATAATAAAAAATTATTAACAATCTAAATATTATCTGCTTGAAAAATTATATAATATAATTAATTTTATATTTTGAGAAGTTCTAATATAATTAAGTTAATTATTTAATAATAATAATGTTACCGGTCAATAAACAAACACGTGATGTGACCGTTTACCACCGGTATTTACTCCATCTCATGACCTTAACACTTTTCCCCAAAAAATTTTAGCACCAGACGGAGGAGTGAGAAATGGAAGAGAAAAAACCCAGCAGCGCCATTTCCGATTCTGAAACCTTTATCTCCAAAGACTTACCCTCAGAGTCTCTCTCCCGAGTCGATAATTTAATTAAGGGTGATGGAGTCTTCAAACCCATCCCGCCGGATTATGACACTCAGGGTTCATACTCCGACCTCGTTCGAGGCCTTCTCAAGATCAGTAGCGTTCAACGAGGCAAAATCTCTTGCTTTCTCTCCATTAAACCTGCTTTAATGGTAAAATCCATCTACCCATTTTGAATCTTGTTGGTGTATGTTTGGTAGAATCAGAATTTTTGAAGTTTTATGTTAAAACTTTTGTTGCGTTTTCGAGAATAATAAAGAAAAGCAAAAGCGTTTGAGGTAAAGAACATGTAAGCACTTCGTTGAAGCTTTGTTTGGTTGCTGAGAAAATATAGGAGAAAAGACTATTGACTTATGTACAAATAACATGAGAACATTAGCCTCGAAGGATCTTTTTCGCTTTAAGATCCCAGATTCCCTTTTCATAAAACAAGAAGTTTGCTATTTACAATTAAAAAGCACACTTATATGATTAGGTATTCATATTAATATATAGAGAGGGACCGGAACAGTTTGTATTCATAAACAACTAATCCAACACCAATAAAGATAGTCCAAGACTACTATATGGTATTGTGCGTGCAAGATCTTGCACAATATAAACATGAGAACAGATCTTTCCCGTGGTGAACTCGAGTCAGTCAATCAAATGGTCAACCTTGCTATTTGGAACAGACTGAGATCCGTTGGCGGCCTAGAACGGTAATGGGTGACTTTCGTGGATCAAAGGAGCGGTCCAGTAAGGCTGAAGGAGGTTCCTGGAACAGAGAAAGACAAGTTAGAAGGGCGTCGGAGTGTTTTCTGGCGTATCTTCTCTGACGATCAAGTTAGTTTTTGAGAGAGGAGAAGAAGAAAACACTGAGTATAGGTTTGAGAAAAGGTTTTTCGTTGCATACATCTTGCCTTTTGCGAGGAGTATTTATACCTAAAAATTCATGATTGCTGTCAGTGTGGTCAGTAGGTGATCATTAGATACGGGCAACGTGCGCATTGATTCCTATAAGGAATGTCTTTTCTTTTAACTGTTTGGGATCCCGAGCAACCAATGTTGCATCATCGGCCCGTCGAATGTTTAATGAGCTCCTCTCGGCAAGGATGTAATAAATGTTCAGTTTTAGGGACATTTATTACCTTTTAATTCTGAGCCTTACCGCATTAAATGTTGTCTCATAAAGGGAATGGTATAATTAAATGTTTGCTTTCTCAAGTCGTGTATCAGCAAGGGCATCCGGTCTTTTTGTCTCTGATGTGACATAATATGCTATGCGCCCATTCTCCATTGGCTGTGTCTTCTGCCTTTTTGTGCCTTCTGACACCAATTGTGTAAGACGAGGTCATGATGACTAACCTAGCCTAGTCTAGGCTAGTGACCTGTACATCAATAGCCTCTGCAGGAGGAGAGAACGCCATCCTGGACGGGTACATCTCAATACCGAGGGGAGTGTGGTACATGTAGGGACCGATGTACCCACATTCGACCGAGGAATACGTGTCGGTACGTAACGTACTGGGTGTCATTGATCCCTATGAACAGTACCTTGGGAGAACAGGGACTTATGATCCGACGGGTATGTGCCGTGATTACAGTAACAAGTATTTACTGATGCCGAGGACATGTGTCTTCATATTGGAGTATTTGAAAATGTCCTATCAACTGCCCCCCAGCCTTTGATCTCCTGACATCGAGGACACGCGTCGTAAGGAGACGAAGGGTTTTGCAACTACTCCAACTATTTCATCATTGCCTTCAGTCGCTTTCCCTTGCTTTGGAGGTCGTGCGCATTAAATGCGCCTCTTCGTGCTTCGTGCCCGAATGATGGGGATGGGTATTATATAAATGGGCTTCCTCTCTCCCTCTCTCACTTTGCCATTTCAGATTTCTTCAGAGAGCCCTTGCCTGAAACCTCGCTGGAGATCCCTTTCCTTTTGCTGTCTATTGTCCAATCTTTCACCAGAGTCTCAAGGCAAGCAGACTCATCCTTACTTCTAAACATTCTGGAGGAAGGAGTCGCTTCAAGTTTTTAAGAAAAACTTCTTTTTACGTTCTGGTGAGTCCTTGTATCTTCTCTTTCTTCGCCCTCCGTCTCTTTTCTTCTTCTCGTTTTTATGTTCCTTTTGGTTTTTCAATAACTGGAGGTGTTTCTGGTTGCCACTCAGCGACCAATCCTCGGGAATCCTCCTTGGGGATCTTCGTGGAAAAATTCCCTCCTTCACTTTTTATCACTTTTTGGAGATGCCTTGTCGTTGCCTTGCCCCCGAGAATCCTCAGGCCAGTTCTTCGAGGCCAGGGAAGTATAAAGTAAAGGGGGCGAGCAAATTAATAGGTTTAGGGTCAAGTACAACATCCCCCCATATGTAGACATAGAGGATTATAACTCGGCTGTGCATTCCCATACCCTCGGGGCCGAGGATGAGATGCCATTTTATACCAAAGCCGTCATAGAGGGCGGGATTAGGTTCCCTCTGCCCCCTTTACTCCTCCAGTTCCTCTCCCATTTCCACCTCTTCCCCAGGCAGTGTTGCGTTAATGTCTTCAGAATAATTATGGGAGTTTTAGAGCTTAACAAGCATCTCGGGATAAATGTTGGGCTGAATGATATTCTCTTTTGCTACTCCCTCTTGAGAGTCATGCCTCAACAAAATTTCTACCTCAAAGCCAGGGACTCATCCATGTACCTCGTAACTCACCTTCCCGACTTGGACAAGGGGTACAAGGATGACCTACTCATCTTCAAGGGATCTTGGCAGAGGGGTGCCGGTCCCGAGTACAACGGCTTGTTATGCCCTTTGGAATGGAGAATGACAAGTACGTCGGCTTCTTCGGGTCTATTATTTTGTTCTTGAGATT